GCACTCCTCCCCACCCCCTCCCCTCACTCCCACGGCGGCGCTGCCCCACCCTCTGACAGACAGACCGAGGGGATACTAGGAGCAGCTGACCTGCCAGCTCAGCGTGGGAGAAGCCGGAAGCAGATCCAGCCCCCGCCTCCCCCACCCTCTGACAGACAGACCGAGGGGATACTAGGAGCAGCTGACCTGCCAGCTCAGCGTGGGAGAAGCCGGAAGCAGATCCAGCCCCCGCCTCCCTGCAAGGGAGGTTTTGGGGTCTCCCTTTGGGCCTTGCTAATAGGACTCTGCTCCATCCCCTTTCAGGGCGTCATCCTGGGCTGTTACTTTGGCTCCGTCGCACTCTACATCTGGGCCATTGGGATCCTGGCCGCAGGGCAGAGCTCCACCATGACCGGGACCTACGCTGGACAGTTCGTCATGGAGGTGGGCCGGGACTGGCTGGGATGGAACCAGCCCTGCCCTGGGAGCCCCCCGGCTTTGGTTTGGGGGTTGGCTTTTCCAGCCCCGCTTGCTGCAGAGCGAAACTTCCAGCTGTGACCCAGCTACCGGCCTGAGTCAGCAGAGACCTGTGCTCAGCCTCACGGAGCCAGGGGTGAACTGCCCTGTTCTCCCTGGGGTGTTCACTCTGGAGTCTAATGACAGCAACCATCGCACCAAATAGAATCATAGAACTGGAAAGGACCTTGAGTCGTTGTCGAGTCCAGTCCCCGGCCCTCACAGCAGGACCAAGCACCATCAGAGCATCCCTGATAGATGTCTAACCAACCTGCCCCTAAATATCTCCAGGGATGGAGATTCCACAACCTCCCTGGGCAACTTATTCCAGTGTTTCACCACCCTGACAGGCAGGAAGTTTTTCCTAATGTGCAACCTAAACCTCCCTTGCTGCAGTTTAAGCCCATTGCTTCTTGTCCTGTCCTCAGAGGCCAAGGAGAAAATTTTTTATCCCTCCTCTTTGTACCACCCTTTTAGGTACAGGGTGCTCTCCGGTCCCCTCTCAGTCTGCTCTTTTTGCAAACTAAACAAGCCCAGTTCTTTCAGTCTTCCCTCCTAGCTCATGTTCTCTAGACCTTTCATCATTTTTGTTGCTCTTCTCTGGACCTTTTCTCATTTCTCCACATCTTTCCTGAAATGTGGTGCCCAGAACTGGACACAATCCTCCAACTGAGGCCTAACCAGCGCAGAGTAGAGCGGAAGAACGACTTCTACGTCTCGCTCACAGCACTTCTGTTCACGCAGCCCGGAGTCATGTTGGCTTTTTTTGCAACAGCGTCACACTGCTGACTCATGATTAGCTTGTGGGCCACTCTGACCCCTGGATCCCTTTCTGCAGGAGTCCTCCCTAGACAGTCGCTTCCCTTCTGTGCGTGTGACACGGATTGTTCCTCCCTAAGTGCAGTAGCCTCTCTCCGAGTTACGAACGAGTTACGAACGAAACACTTGGCCGTAACTCAAGTGCAAACGGTTGTAACTCAACCGTTTGCAAGTCGGGGAGCGGCTGTACTTTGCATTTGTCCTTATTAAACTTCATCCTGTTGACCTCAGACCATTTCTCCAGTTTGTCCAGATCAGTTTGAATTCTGACCCATCCTCCAAAGCACTCACAACCCCTCCCAGCTTGGGATCAGCTGCAAACTTCCTAATCATCCTCTCTATGCCAATAGCTAAATCGTTGATGAAGATATTGAACAGAACCGGTCCAGCCACTTACGCACCCACCTTATCGTAGCCCCATCTAGGTTGTATTTGCCTAGTTTACTGATAAGATCATGTGAGACCATATCAAATGCTTTACTCAAGTCTTGGTATCCCACGTCCGCCGCTTCTCCCTTAGCCACAAGACTCGTTATCCTAGCAAAGAAATCTATCCGAGTGGTTTGACGTGATTTGTTCTTTACAAATCCATGCTGGCTGTTCCCTAGCACCTTATTAGCTCCCAGATGTTTGTAGATTAATTCCTTAATTCCCTGCTCCATTATCTGCCCTGGCACAGACGTTACACTGACTGGTCTGTATTTCCCTGGGTTGTTCTTATTTCCCTTTTTATAGATATTTGCCCTTTTCCAGTCTTCTGGAATCTCTCCCAACTTCCGTGACCTTTCAAAAGTGATAGCTAAAGGCTCAGATACCTCCTCTAGCAGCTCTGTGAGTGTTCCTGGATGCATTTCATCAGGCCCTGGTGACTTGCAGGCATCTAACTTGTCTAAGCAATTTTTAACTTTTAACTTCTAAACCTACCCCATTCCAGTAGCATTCGCTATGTTAGGCATTCCATCACCTCCGTTTTCTTGACGAAAATCGAAACAAAGAAGTCGTTAAGCACCTCTGCCCTTTCCAAGTTTCCTGGTATTGTTTCTCCCTCCTCACTGAGCAATGGGCTGACCCCGTCCTTGGTCTGCCTCTTGCTTCTAACATATTTGTAGAATGTCTTCTTGTTATCCTGCATGCCGCTAGCTAGGCTGAGTTCGTTTTGTGCCTTTGCCTTTCTAATCTCGCCCCTGCGCACCTCTGTTGTTTGCTTCTATTCCTCCTTTGTCATTTGCGCTAGTTTCCACTTTGTATACGACTCCTTTGGGATTTTTAGCTCATGTAAGATCTCCCGGTTGATCCAAGGTGGTCTCCTGCCAGACTTTCTATCTTTCCTACACAGCGGAATAGTTTGCTTTTGGGCCCTTAATAATGTCCCTTTAAAAAACTGCCAACTCACTTCACTTGTTTTTCCTCCTAGTCTTGCTTCCCTAAACTTAAACTGGGCTTAAACTGCAGCGAGGGAGGTTGAGGTTGGACATTAGGAAAAAGTTCCTACCTGTCAGGGTGGTCAAACACTGGAATAAATTGCCCAGGGAGGTTGTGGAATCCCCATCTGTGGAGATATTTAAGAGGAGGTTAGATAAATGTCTGTCAGGGATGGTCTAGACAGTATTTGGTCCTGCCATGAGGGCGGGGGGCTGGACTCGATGACTCTCGAGGTCCCTTCCCGTCCTAGTATTCTATGATTCTATGATTCCCATGGGGCCGTACCTACCCGCTCTGCCACTGCTGAGCCTCCTACCAGAACCCTGGCTGCTCTGGGAACTCGTGGGCTTGGCTGGAGCTAGAGTAAAAGCCCCCACTCCTGCTCTGTCCCCTAGCGGAAGCAAAGCAGGGGGGCAGGTGGGGAGGGGGGTCTGTCTCTCGCCTCCTGATTCAGGCCTTTAGCTTGGCATCTGGGCGCCTGGCGGGGCTCTCCAGGGGGAAAACCACAGGGGGTAATTGGGAGTTTGCTACATTTCTCCTCAGCCCCTTCCCGGCACGAGCGGATGCAAGTGTCTGGAGACGGGTGGGCAGGCAAAGGCAGGAAGCCGGGGTGAAAGGAAGCCCCCGATCCCACATTCCAGTCTGGGGAACGCAGGTCGCCTCCCTGCCACTCCCGCCGCACT